TGGAAACATAAATTAATGAACGTGGCACAGAAATGGATTACAAGAACAGAGACACCAAACTATTGGTCTGCATTGGTGGAATTATGGTGGTTTTCAATGTTCTTTTTCTCATTTGTAGTTTCCTAAGAGCACAAGTTACTTCTGGAAAAAGAAAAAAGAATAAGAGAAACAATTGAACAGGGAATTGATTCTGCAGCACAGAAGCCTAGCATTCACTCTCCCTCAGGTACACAGACTTTGCCTGAAAGCCCATTTCTGGGGGCATCTCACATGAGCAGTGAGGGTCCTAGCTTTGCCAGGCAATCATAACCCCAAAAGCCTCAATCCCAGCTTACCCTTCTTGTGCCATCTTAAGGGTCCTGGCAAATATGTGTGTTAAAATAAAGCATTCATGCAAATTCCATTTAGTTTTGAGATTTCTAATGAGTTCTCTTTTTTTTTTTTTTTCCTTTTTCTCAGAGCAATTATTTTTTAAAAGGAGATTTCTGATGATTTCTTATGATATGTCTTTATATGAGATTTTAATACTTTTTTTCTCTGCAAATTTCTGTTGTTTATTTTGGAAAGAAGATAGCTTAAAATGGCATTCTTTTACATAGGGATGAAAACAAGATTATTTCAAAGTCTCTTCTTCCAGAGTTAACAATTCACCCATGTTTTAGAGTCTATAAATACGTAGGGTATATAGTTACCAGTGATCTAACAGAGGTCTGCTCTGAACTTCAGCTTGTGTCCATAACTTTAGTTCAGCCAGTGGCTGAGAATACAATTGTGAGAGGCACCAACCCACGGTTCTAACCCTGGTTCTACCTTTAATGGCTATGTGACTTGGAAAGAAGAGGGGTGAATCTGCATCTCAGATTTGAACGGGGAAAATGAAGATTATAAGTAGCTACCTTACAATGGTCTGGGGCAGATTTCATCACAGCAATTCCTGATAGACCGCCTGGCATACTGCAAGCTCTAAAAACACTGCAGACTGTCTTATTCCCTCCTGGTAGCACTGATATCTTCTATTTGCACAGTCAGTCATATGCTCCAAGGTACTCAACACCATTTACTTCACTGGATCCTCAGGCAGCTCTATCCCAAAAGTTTCTGTCTCCATTTTATCTTTTTTGTAAACAGATGAGGAAACTGAGGATAAAGGACACACAGCTTAGAAAGAAGCTCCAGGCCTCTTTTTGCTCAGTGCCAGATTCTCAACTGGACTTCCCAGTGGCTCAGATGGTAAAGAATCTGCCTGCAATGTGGGAGACCTGGGTTTGATCCCTGGGTGGGAAGATTCCCTCAAAAGATCATGTGCCACCTGTGAACTTAATAAGATTAAATTTCTTTTTAAATACTCTACTAAACACAGTCAGCAAAAACAGGACAGGGAACTGACTGTGTCTCAGATTATGAACTCCTTATTGCCAAATTCAGACTTAAATTGAAGAAAGTAAGGAAAACCACTAGACCATTCAGGTATGACCTAAATCAAATCCCTTACGATTATACAGTGGAAGTGACAAATAGATTTAAGGGATTAGATCTGAAAGAATGCATGAGGAACTATGGATGAAGGTTCGTGACATTGTAAAGGAGGCAGTGATCAAGACCATTCCCCAGAAAAAGAAATACAAAAAGGCAAAATGGTTATCTGAGGAGGCCTTAACAAATAGCTGCGAAAAGAAGAGAAGCTAAAGGCAAAGGAGAAAAGGAAACATATACCCATTTGAATGCAGAGTTCAAAAGAATAGCAAGGAGAGATAAGAAAGTGTTCCTCAGTGATCAATGCAAAGAAACAGAGGAAAACAAAAGAATGGGAAAGAATAGAGATTTCTCCAAGAAAATTAGAGATACCAAGGGAACGTTTCGTGCAAAGATGGGCACAATAAAGGACAGAGACGGTATGGACCTAACAGAAGCAGAAGATATTAAGAAGAGGTGGCAAGACTACACAGAAGAACTATACCCAAAAGATCTTCATGACCCAGATAATCACAATGGTGTGACCACTCACCTAGAGCCAGACATCCTGGAGTGCGAAGTCAAGTGGGCCTTAGGAAGCATCACTGTGAACAAAGCCAGTGAAGGTGATGGAATTCCAGCTGAGTTATTTCAAATCCTAAAAGACGATGCTGTGAGAGTGCTGCACTCAATATGCCAGCAAATTTGGAAAACTCAGCAGTAGCCACAAGACTGGAAAAGGTCAGTTTTCATTCCAATCCCAAAGAAAGGCAATGCCAAAGAATGCTCAAACTACCACACAATTGCACTCATCTCATATGCTAGCAAAGTAATGCTCAAAATTCTCCAAGCCAGATTTCAACAGTACATGAACCGTGAACTTTCATATATTCAAGCTGGATTTAGAAAAGGCAGAGGAACCAGAGATCAAATTGCCAACATCCGTTGGGATCATCAAAAGAGAAAGAGAGTTCCACAAAAACATCTACTTCTGCCTTACTGACTACACCAAAGCCTTTGACTGTGTGGATCACAATAAACTGTGGAAAATTTTTAAAGAAGTGGGAATACCAGACCACCTGAACTGCCTCCTGAGAAATCTGCATGCAGGTAAAGAAGCAACAGTTTGAACATGGAACAAAAGACTAGTTCCAAATCAGGAAAGAAGTACGTTAAGGCTGTATATTGTCACCCTGCTTATTTAACTTATATGCAGAGTACATCATGAGAAACGTTGGGCTGGATGAAGCACAAGCTGGAATCAAGATTGCTGGTATAAATATCAATAACCTCAGAAATGCAGATGACACCACCCTTAATGGCACAAAGTGAAGAGGAACTAAAGAGCCTCTTGATGAAAGTGAAAGAGGAAAGTGAAAAAGTTGGCTTAAAACTCAACATTCAGAAAACTAAGATCATGGCATCCAGTCCCATCTCTTCATGGCAAATAGATGGGGAAACAATGGAAACAGTAACAGACTTTATTTTCTTGGGCTCCAAAATCACTGCAGATGGTGACTGCAGCCATGTAACTAAAAGACGCTTGCTCCTTGGAAGAAAAGCTATGACCAACCTAGACAGCATACTAAAAAGCAGAAATTACTTTGCCAACAAAGGTCCGTCTAGTCAATTCTATGGTTTTTCCAGTGGTCATGTATGGATGTGATAGTTGGATTATAAAGAAAGCTGAGCGCTGAAGAATTGATGCTTTTGAACTGTGGTGTTGGAGAAGACTCTTGAGAGTCCCTTGAACTGCAAGGAGATCCAACCAGTCAATCCTAAAGGAAATCAGTCCTGAATCTTCATTGGAAGGACTGATGCTGAAGCTGAAACTCCAATCCTTTGGCCACCTGATGTGAAGAACTGACTCACTGGAAAAGACCCTGCTGCTGGGCAAGATTGAAGGCAGGAGAGAGAAGGGGACAACAGAGAATGAGATGGTTGGATGGAATCACCAACTCAGTGGACATGAGTTTCAGCAAGCTCCGGGAGTTGGTGATGGACAGGGAAGCCTGGTGTGCTGCAGTTCATGGGGTTGCAAAAAGTTGGACACAACTGAGCAACTGAACTGAACTGAGCTGATTCATACTTTACAAGAGATGTGGTTTTTCCAGGTGGACAGTGGTAAAGAATCTGTCTGCAGATGCTGGAGCTGAGGGTTCGATCTCTGGGTGGGGAAGGTCCCCTGGAGAAGGAAACAGCAACCAACTCCAGTATTTTTGCCTGGAAAATCCCCTGGACAGAGGAGCCTGGTGGGCTAGAGACCATGGGGTTGCAAAGAGTTGGACACGACTGAACACACACACACACATTCATACTATAATCAAATCAAACTGGCTTTTTTTTAACACCACTCCAAATTAATTGGGTTTTGCTTAGTGAAAAGAGCATCTGGGGCTCTTATTTAGAGCTTACTATATATCTCAGCACCAGATTGAGTGTTCACATCCATGGCCACAGTTCAACCCGCAGCGACTCTATGAGGTAGCACTGTCATTGTCCCCATTTCATAAATTTCACAACTAAGTGCAGGATTAAAATGCAAGCTAACTATCTCAAACTCCAGCTCTTAAGACTCTGGTATTATCCAAATCGCATTTGCCTGCCCAACTGACCATACATTTTGCAAAGTGCTTTCACACACAGCAGATGTCCGGATGGGATGGGGAGGGGGGAGGTTACCAGTGTTCTTTTGTATATGTGATGAAATCGAGACTCAGCGCTCTTAGGGGAGCTGTCAAAGTTACCCGGCCTTCTTCCGGTCCAGCAAGGACACATAACTCCCTCACTCCAAATCTCATTCTCTTCCCAAAGTCTCAAACTCCTTTGCACGTGTATTTTGAAAGCAAGATGGCAGGAGACATCCTGTCATTCCTGAAAAGCAACTGTGCACTTCACGGCCTCCTTGTCAACCCTGAGCGCTGACAGCGTTGACAGCTTGACCGGGGCTCACCGGCTCCGGCTCCGAGCCAGCCGTGGGCACCAGAGGCGCGGAGGAAGTGGGAGGTGAGGCTGCTCGCAGAGCCGCCCCTTGGGACGGTGCCAGCACCGCGTCCCCACGCCACCCCAACCTCCTCGCTCCAGGTCCTCGAGGGGTGAAACCCGAGACTCTGCGGGGTGTCAGGACGCGGTCTCCGGACCAGGCGGCGGGGCGTCCCCTGTCCCGCGAGTGTGCAGGGGAGGGCGCGCGGAGACCCGAGCCTCGGCTGGCTCAGTCCCCGGGCGCAGCGAAACCCGAGCGCGCTCAAACCGCCTTCCTCGGCCACAGGGACCCACCGGGGCGGGAACTGCGGCTCCCGGGATCTCAGCACAGGCTTCCGGGAGGACCCGGACCGGCTCGGCGCGGGCTGGCAGCCCCAGGCCCGACAAAGACTTCAACTCGGCACGCCACGCGCCCTGCCTCAGTTTCCCTCACCCCGCAAGAGTGCAGAAACCCTAGATGTCAACCGAGGCGCACCCCGGACCTAAACGATTTCCAGAGGACAGAGCTCACCCTCGCCGCGGAACCCTCGCCCCGACCCGCCGGGAGGCCGTGACAGCACCCCTACCTGCGCGGTGGCCCCTACCGGCACCGGCCGGGGCGCCCTGGGGCCCCCCGCCCAGCATGCGCCCCGCCGGCTCCTCCCGCTTCGCCTCCGCCTTCTCCAGCTCCGCTGAGGCCAGAGGGCTCTGTGCACCCGAGGCCCGCGTCCGGGGAAGCTAACGGCCGAGCGGGACGGGAAGTGGGGAGGGGGCTGGCGAGGAAGGGGAGGCTCCTTCCTCCTCCCGGGCTGGACCGGCTGTTTCCTCTCCAGCCTCGTCCCAGGCACGCGCGCGCGCGCACACACACACAAGCTGACGGCTGGAGCGGGCGGGGCGCGCAAGCCCACAGCCTGGGTCACAGACCTGGGAAAGCTGCTTTTTCACTCTCCCTCAGTGTTGGACGAAAATGAGAGGGGAAGTGCGGTGGAGACGACGGGTGTTCGGGGAGGGAGAGAGACGAGGAGGCCCTCCTTGGGGGACGGGAGGAGTGATCTACGAGGGTGCCTCCCAGACGCTAATTAGGGAAGTGACCACAGGGTTGATGGAAGATTTGGAGGGAGTGAGAGGGACTCGTTTCGCAAGGGGCAGGGGGCGGGGGGAGAATGAGGGGAGACTGCAGCTCACCCTGGGAAAGAGCGCGGGGCGAGTAGTTCTACATGAAATGAGGATCCAACTGTTTGAATCTTCTGGCAGCACTGGGCTGGCCCCAGATCCGCCTCCCCACGTTGGGCAGCCAGCCCAGGACACAACTGCGATCCGTGCTGAGCTCCTAAGCCAGCCCACTGGCCTCCTCTTGTGTTCATTAAAGGAGGCTCCTGGAGCATCCCCGAGGACGCACCTGCCAGAAGTGGTTCTCGCCCTTAAGGAGCTTCCCCGTCCTCCCATCGGCGAAGATAAACATGCGCGTGTAAAACTAAAGAACGACGTACAGCAGAACATGCCAAGAGCCATCGGTCTGTCGCGAAACATCGCAGACCGGGGGTGGGGGGGGAGAGGCGGTAAGAGGGAGTGTTGTGAAGAAGGGTCAGAAAGGCTCCCTAGAGGAAGGGGAAGGATCGTCCTAGGCCTGGAGGAGAGTGAAGATCGTCCAAAGGCTCAGAGCCGTGCGAGTGAAAACACCTGTGTATGCTTAGAAGTCAGACTGTTGTGGGACAGAACGAACGCGAGCGTGAGTTTGAAGAATGCGGGGAACCGTTGGATGAGGCTGAATGTAATTAAGGACACCACCAAGCAGGGATCTGGATTCACTACAGTTTGAGAGATTAGAAAAAGCTCTGTTTGTTTCGCTAGTTGACAGAAATGAGAGATAAGAGGGGACCCGTACTAAATGATGCGGAAATGCCAGGGCTGCCTTGGTACACCATAACGGAATTGCCTAAAGGCTTAGGGAGATTGAAATATTAGAGTAGATTTATCACATGAGACCCACTTACTGACTCCCAGGGGGTCCAGAGGACACAGCATTCACCGTGCCTCAGAGAAAAAACTTTGTGACCCAGCATGCCTGGTCAACTCTTCCCTGTAGATCAGAAATTACAGTGGAAACTGCACCACTGAAGTGTGGGTCCTTACATGCAGTGAGAATAGTTGGATCCCAGAGTGATCCATTGGAGCCAAATGGTGGCAATGAATCACCCAAAGCAGGGTGGGCATGGTTTCTGTAATGGACAGCAAAGGCAAAGCAGCAACCAGAATAGTCTGACCCTCACAGACCTATGGCATTGACCGGTTAGTCATGGCAATCCAGGATGAGAATGCTACTGAATTCTTATGTGATCTGAGTGAACAGGAAAGTTCTTGGTCAAGCAAACAAAAGCCTAACTTAAATTACCAAAATGGACAGACTCCATTGATTCCAAGACTTGAGTCAATTTGCAGACCCAAAACTCCTTGAACAAAGCGGATGTTTGTCTCCTTCAAGATTCTGCAACATTGTCAAAAATATATACTATTACTCTTTCTTTGAGTCTTCCCCAAAGGGACATGTGGCCTTTTACTAGGGTGACTGTGCATTGGGGAAAAGGAAATAATCAGACTTATCAGGAATTACTGGACACTGGCTCTGAACTGACACTGAATCCAGGACATCCAGAACATCACTGCAGTACTAGTCCAAGCAAGGGCTTGTAGAGGTCAGGTGATCAGTGGAGTTTTAGCCCAGGTCCATCTCATAGTGGTCTCTGCACCCATACTGGGGTTATTGCCCCAGTTTTGGAATGCACTGTTAGAATAATTAGAATAATACTCAGAAACTGGCAGAATCCCTACATTGGTTCCATGACCTGTGAAGTGGGGGTTATTTTGGTAGAAAGAGCCAAGTGGAAGCCTCTACAGCTGCCTCTGCCTTGGATGAGCAAAGTGGTTGTGGTGGCAGTCCTGGAAGTTATCTAGAGGCTCAGCAATACAGACTTCCACTCACCAAAGCCAGTCTGACCATGGCCACCACTGAGGGTCCAGTCTGCCAATAGCAGGACCAACTATATAGCAGCATTCCCCAGTTAACCAAAGGCAATACTGCCTTCTTAGAGAGACTGCAGGGAGTAATGCCACCATCAAGGACTTGAAAGATGCAGGGGTGGTGATTTCTACCACCTCCCCATTCAACATGCCCATGTGGCCTGTGAAGAAGACAGATGGAGCCTGAAGAATGACAGTGGATCATCATAAACTAACCCAGACGGTGATTCCAATTGCAGCTGCTGTACCAGATGCAGCATCACTGCTTAAGCAAATTAACACATCCCCTAGTATCTGCTCTGCAGTATCGGTCTGGCAAAATGTTTATTCTGCATACCTGTTAGTAAAGACCAACTGCAGGGCAGCCTTCTTTCAGCTGGCAAAAGCAGCAGTACAGTGAAGACTGCCCTCCCTCGAGGATAGGTCAGTTCTCCAGCCCTACATCCTAACTTGGTCAAGCAGGGACCCTAGTGTCTTTCTGTTCTAGAAGGCCTCACGCTGGTCCATGGCACTGATGATGTTATGCTGGTGGGACCTAGTGTGCAGGAAAGAGTAGCTCTTCTAGGCTCATTGGTGAGACATTTGTATGTCATGGGGTGGAAAGCAAATCTGACAAAAATTCTAGAGATTTCCTTCTCAGTGGGTTTCCAGGAGGTCTGGTAGTATAGGGTATCCATTCTAAGGTTACAGATGAGGACTTCCCTGGTGGTCCAGTGGTTAAGAATCAGCCTTCCAATGCAGAGGATGTGGGTTTGATTCCTGGTTGAGGAACTAAGATCCCACACACCACAGGGCAACTAAGCCCACATGCCACAACTACTGAGTCCGAGCAGCACAGCTAGAGAGGAGCCCTGTGCTGCAACAAAAATCCCAAATTTTTGTTTCAAATGAATAAATATTTTTAAATAAATAAATAAGGTGAAGGGTAAGTTGTTGTATTTAGCCCTTTATATGACCTTGGTGGCTCAGACAGTAAAGAATCTGCCTGCAATGCAGGAGACCTGGGTTTAGTCCCTGGGTCAGGAAGATTCCGCTGGAGAAGGGAATGACTACCTACTCCAGTACTCTTGCCTGGAGAATTCCTCGGACAGAGGAGCCTGGCAAGCTACAGTCCATGGGGTTGCAAAGAGTCAGACACGACTGAGCGACTAATACTTTCATAACCAAAAAAGAGACACAACGCCTCATGGTCTTCTTTGGGTTTGGGTCACAACACATCCCTCATTTGGGAGCGCTACTCAAGTCCATTTGCCAAGTGACCCAAAGAGCTGCTGATTTTGAGTGGGACCAAGAACAAGAGAAGACTCAGCACCTCATCCAGGTGGCAGCACTGAGAGCTGCCCTCTGCCAGCTGAGCCAAGTGATCCAGCAGATCCAACAGTCAGTGGCAGATGCTGATGGAGGCTGGCTCAGAGCCCCGCAGGGAGGCACCTCACAGACCCTTGAGATTACAGGGCAAAGCCCTGCTGTGCTCTGAGGATTTTGAGAAACAGCTTTTTACTTACTACTGGGCCTAGTAGTAACTGATCGTTTAACCATGGGCCACCGCATCACCATGCAAGCTGAGCTGCTTGCCATGAACTGGGTGCTGCCAGAACCACAGGCAGGAGTCCGGGTGTGTGCAGCAGCACTCCATCATCAACTGGAACTGATACACATGAGACTCAGCTCAAGCAGACCTAGAGGACGCTCGTAAGTTACATGAGGAAGTGCCCAAGGCCCCCACCACACTCACCCTCCCGGCCTGCACCTGAGGTCTCAGGGCCAGCTCCCTATGACCAGCTGATTGAGGAAGAGGAGACTTAGGCCTGCCTAATGTTCAGGCATCACCTGAAAGTTGACAGCAGCTGTACTACAGCCCCTTCTGGAACATCCCTGAAGGACACTGGTGAATGCAAGTCTGCCCAGTTTGCCGAACTTTGAGCAGTCAACCTTATTGTTCAGTCTGCTTCAAAAGAGAAATGGCCAGAAGTACAAGTATACGCCCGCTTATGGACTGTGACCAATGGTTTGGCTGGATGGTCAGGGATTTAAACAGAACATGACTGGAAAATCGGTGACAAGGCGATCTGAGGAAGAGGTAGGTGGATAGACTGAACTCTCTGAACAGTCAGAAAATTCCAAGAGACTGTGTCCCAGGTGAATGGTCTGATCTCAGCAAAAAAAAAAAAGCTTGTAATCCTCAAGTGGCTAGGACACTGTTCTTTGGGTACCAGTCAGCCTACTTCTCCAGCTACACTTGACATTGCCCAATAGGCTGATGAACAAATCAGTCATGGTGGCAGGGCTGGAAGTTATCCAGAGGCCGTATTACAGACTTCCACTCACCAAGGCCAGCCTGACCATGGCCGCCAATGAGGGTCCAATCTGCCAGCAGCAAGACCAACCATATGGCAGCATTCCCCAAAGTGATCAGTTCAGTTCAGTTGCTCAGTCATGTCTGACTCTTTGCGACCTCATGGACTGCAGCACGCCAAGCTTCCCTGTCCATCACCAACTCCCAGAGCTTGATCAAACTCATGTCCATTGAGTCGGTGATGCCATCCAACCATCTCATCCTCTGTCGTCCCCTTCTCCTCCTGCCTTCAATCTTTCCCATCATCAGGGTCTTTTCTAAGGAGTCAGTT